AACAGCTCATCCTGGACTCCATGCCACTAAACTGGAAGTAAATCTCGCAGTGTATATTTGACGTCTATGAACATGATCATGATGATGAAAGCTTGTTCAAATGAAATAAAATAAATAATTATTCAACATATTTTGATTCAGTTATTTTAAACATATTTAAGAAAACTTTAAAAGTTATCAATTCTTTTTCTTACTTGTAAGACGATATGTACCAGGGACAGATAATTCTATTTTTACACGGTGCCAAATTTAAATCATTGAAAAGCCAAGTCAACAAAGAGCCAAACAGCTTGTCTTACCGACCTGATGAGGCATTATTTTGTTTAAAAATTTTTTTTTTTTTAATTGATCACAAATGGAAACATAATATTGTACATGAAGATTTACATACAATTTTTTTCTTTTCTTCAATTACGTAAAATATTCACTGCGGTGTTCACTTCCAGTTTAGTGGCATGGAGTCCACTCCATACTCCACTAATCAACCTCTTTCAAATGACACCAAGGTCAATGACTTTGTGACCTTGACTGTGACCTTAATGCTAAAAATAGCTTTTTCCAAACTTTGTTGCCGCCGGGCGCATAGTGTTTCACAAACACATCTTGTTTTTTTTTATGGTCTACTTACCCTCTATACTAGTACTGTGTGTACATCTGTCCTCCACATTCAGCTTAAGTACAGGATCTTGGCTAGAAGTTGACAAAAATTCAGGATACCTGTAATTTAAAGAAATATCAGTAAGAATGTGCTGCAAATCACATATTCCATATAATATCAAATATGACACTATACCGGGGCAAAAAAAATATACATGACTGTACTCATGTTTCCTGTCACCTGACCTATCCTCCATTTTACTCTCCGAACCTCATAGTTTTTTTTTTCACGTTTTCATTTTTTTTGCTATTTTCCCGAAATGTTTAAATCGGCCAACAATATTAAATGTTTTTTACAGATGAGTTTCAGAAGCGTTTTAATACAAAACTTGGGCAGACCTGTCAAAAAAATTATTGAACATACCAATGAGAAGTATGAAAGCCCTAACACCAACTGTGCAAAAGTTATAAGTTATAACTAAGGTTGAAGAGTGATATATTTTTGTAAAAGTGGTCAAACTTCAAGGTCAAGAGGTCAAATTTGGTGGTGGTGGTACCCAAAGAAAGGTCTTGTCACAAGAAATACAAGTGTACAGCAGTGAAATATGAAAGCCATAGCCCCACTCACTCCAAAGTTATGAGCAAGGTTAAAGTTTTTGAGGACAAACAGCCAGATGGACTACAGGGCAAAATCTATTTACCAATACGTCTTATTTCAACTATGGAAGAGTTTAAGATTTTAGTGCGCTCCTCTGTAAAAAAGTTGCAGAGTGTACAAATCTTTCAGGATTTCTGGGACAAACGTAACATAAACATGTAAACAATATGTTGGATGTCGATGAACAAATCCTAACAAAAATCAAATGAATCATTTTATTGTTGTGGACTTTATACATGTTATATGCATGAAGAGTAGAAAGGACAAAAATATCAATTTTTATCTATTGTTTATCATATGTATTTAATTATCATCTAAATATAATTCACATGCTTTGGAAATGTATTTTATTATTGGATGATAAATGAGATGGGAGTCCGAGAACATAAGAAGGGATAAGCCTATAGCGCAACAAACATGAAGGTGAAACATAGGTAATCAGAGATTACAGAGCTCACCTCAACGAATGTTGTCTTTAAGTAAGGCAAAGTCACACAATTAACCAACAAGAAGTGTACATTCCAAAGATGAAAATATTTAAGCAATTTTAATCTGAATTTGAAATAGAACAACATAAAAAATTTAAACTAGTTCTTCTTCATGAAAATGTAATTAAAATCCAGCATCTGAAGCAAATTTGAGAGTTTTCATCTCTTGATGCAACATTTGTGCAAGTTTGGTTTATACAATGTTATATAAGCCTTATAGTTTTTTGGTAATAGACCTGCACCCATAACTTTTACCTGGTCTATTATCTGAAAATATATGTCGAATTCAGCATCTGAAGCAAGTCCATTAGTGTGCATCCTAAGATGTATCATCCATGCAAGTTTGCTCATTATAGGGCTCATAGTTAATTGGAAATGAAACATGCATCAAAAACTAACATTTTCATTCAGCAACAAAAAGTAGGTCAGATTCAGCATCCGAAGCAAGCCCAGTATATGCATCCTTATATGTATCATCCACGCAAGTTTGGTCATTAAAGAACTCATAGTTACTTGGAAATGAATCATGCACCAAAATCTTTAACCTATTCACTCAACTGGAAAATGTAGGTCAGATACAGCATCCGAAGCAAGCCTGGTAGTATACATCCTAATATATGTATAATCCATGCTAGTTTAGCCAACATAGGGCTTATAGTTACTTGGAAATGAAACCTGCACCAAAAACTTTAACCTGTTCACTCAACCAGAAAATGTAGGTCAGATTCAGCATCTGAAGCAAGCCCTGTAGTGCATCCTTAGATGTATCATCCATGCAAGTTTGGTCAACATAGGGCTTACAGTTACTTGGAAATGAAACCTGCACTAAAAACTCTATCTTGTTCACTCAACCAGAAAATGTAGGTCAGATTCAGCATCCGAAGCAAGCCCAGTAGTATGCATCCTTAGATATATCATCCATGCAAGTTTGGTCAACATAGGGCTTATAGTTACTTAGAAATGAAACCTGCACCAAAAACTTTAACCTGTTCACTCAACCGTAAAATGTAGGTCAGATTCAGCATCCGAAGCAACCCTGGTAGTATGCATCCGTAGATGTATCATCCATGCAAGTTTGGTCAACATAGGGTTTATAGTTACTTGGAAATGAAACCTGCACCAAAAACTTTAACCTGTTCACTCAACCGGAAAATGTAGGTCAGATTCAGCATCCGAAGCAAGCCTGGTAGTATGCATCCTTAGATGTATCATCCATGCAAGTTTGGTCAACATAGGGCTTATAGTTACTTAGAAATGAAACCTGCACCAAAAACTTTAACCTGTTCACTCAACCGTAAAATGTAGGTCAGATTCAGCATCCGAAGCAACCCTGGTAGTATGCATCCGTAGATGTATCATCCATGCAAGTTTGGTCAACATAGGGTTTATAGTTACTTGGAAATGAAACCTGCACCAAAAACTTTAACCTGTTCACTCAACCGGAAAATGTAGGTCAGATTCAGCATCCGAAGCAAGCCTGGTAGTATGCATCCTTAGATGTATCATCCATGCAAGTTTGGTCAACATAGGGCTTATAGTTACTTGGAAATGAAACCTACACCAAAAACTGCACCAAAAAGGTTAACCTGCTCCAACAAGAGGCCCATGGGCCACATCGCTCACCTGAGAATCTTTTGTCATATTGTTCTTTACCAGATTTCCCCCTTGTAATACATATTGTGGCCCTGCCCTACCCCCTGGGGTCATGATTTACTACCCCAGGGTGCATCCACATCAGTTTCAGCTTTTCTGGCCCAGTGGTTCTTGAGAAGAAGATTTTCAAAGATTTTTCCTATATATTTCTATGTAAAACATTGATGCCCCATTGTGGCCCCACCCTACCCCCTGGGGTCATGATTTGAACAATTTGGAATCTACACTACCCCAGGGTGCTTCCACATCAGTTTCAGCTTTTCTGGCCCAGTTGTTCTTGAGAAGAAGATTTTCATAGATTTTTCCTATATATTTCTATGTAAAACTTTGATTCCCCATTGTGGCCCCACCCAACCCCCGGGGATCATGATTTGAATAATTTAGAATCTACACTACCCAACAATGCTTCCGCATGAGTTTCAGCTTTTCTGGCCCAGTGGTTCTTGAAAAGAAGATTTTCAAAGATTTTTCCTATATATTTCTATGTAAAACTTTTATTCCCCATTGTGGCCCCGCCCTACCCTCGGGGGTCATGATTTGAACAATTTAGAATCTACAGTACCCCAGGGTGATTCCACATCAGTTTCAGCTTTTCTGGCCCAGTTGCTCTTGAGAAAAAGATTTTCAAAGATTTTTCCTATATATTTCTATGTAAAATATTGATGCCCCATTGTGGCCCCGCCCTACCCCCGGGGGTCATGATTTGAACAATTTAGAATCTACACTACCCCAGGGTACTTCCACATCAGCTTCAGCCTTATTGGCCCAGTGGTTCTTGAGAAGAAGATTTTCAAAGATTTTTCCTATATATTTCTATGTAAAACTTTGATTCCCCATTGTGGCCCCGCCCAACCCCCGGGGGTCATGATTTGAACAATTTAGAATCTACACTACTCCACAATGCTTCCACATGAGTTTCAGCTTTTCTGGCCCAGTGGTTCTTGAGAAGAAGATTTTCAAAAATTTTTCCTATATATTTCTATGTAAAACTTAGATTCACCAATGTGGCCCCGCCCTACCCCCGCGGGTCATGATTTGAACAATTTAGAATCTACACTACCCCAGGGTGCTTCCACATCAGTTTCAGCTTTTCTGGCCCAGTGGTTCTTGAGAAGAAGATTTTCAAAGATTTTTCCTATATATTTCTATGTAAAAATTTGATTCCCCATTGTGGCCCCGCCCAACCCCCGGGGGTCATGATTTGAACAATTTAGAATCTACACTATCCCAGGGTGCCTCCACATAAGTTTCAGCCTTATTGGCCCAGTGGTTCTTGAGAAGAAGATTTTTTAATGACCCCACCCTATTTTTGTCTTTTCTTGATTATCTCCCCTTGTAAGGGGACTTGTCCCTTCATTTTAACAATTTAAATTCCCCTTCACCCAAGGATGCTTTGTACCAAGTTTGGTCAAAATTGGCCCAGTGGTTCTTGAGAAGAAGTCGAAAATGTGAAAAGTTTACAGACGGACGGACAGACAGACAGACAGACGGACAGACGGACAGACGGACGGACGACGGACAAAATGTGATCAGAAAAGCTCACTTGAGCCTTCGGCTCAGGTGAGCTAAAAACATTAACCTGGTCATTCCTTTGCTGAAATTGCAGCATCTGAAACTTTGACTGGTACAATGAAACACACTAGAACCATCTTCCATGCATGTCTAATCAATATAGGACATAGAAGTACTTAAAAAGAAAACTGCTCCAAAAAACTTAACCTTAACCTGGGACGCCGACGCCGACGCCGACACCGACGCCGAGGGTATTACATAAGCTCCCCCAACTTCGTTGAGGTGAGCTAAAAAATTAAATCTCAATATGTTATGTCGCGACTACCAATGAGTACCTCGCAGTTATCTAACTTACCTCCGCTCTTTTGCGAGGGAGTCAAGAAAAGTCTAAATTTCTGGGGGCAAATGACATTGTTTACATTAGTGACAATCGAATGATTCGAACAATTTAATGCCAAAATCACGATGTTTTGCTAGATATTGAATTCCAAATAGTAGATTGTCAAATAAGGAAAGTTAAGAATATTTTATATACTGAAAAATGTGACGATTTTCAATGAAAATTTAACTATAAGAGTCCGCTTAATTAAACATATCTTTAAAAATGTGACAATTTAGGATTGGCTCCTCTCAAAAATGTATAAGGCTGGTTCAGCGATTGTCTAGCGAGGTATTCCACCAGGATTTTTTACTTATCTGTCCTTATAAATGCTACAATGATCGATCTTGCATTAATTGTATTGAATAGCACATTGCTCCCACCCAACAGATGATTCCTACCTCCTTCATGAAAGAGTTCAGCTAAGTTAAGTAATCGCGATATCAAGTATTGTATCAAAATTTTCCGAAATATTTCATCTAAAATTAAAGTATACTTTATGTAAATCTGTCAAATCTCTACAACTTATACATGCATATCTCATGAAGATTGAAGTTTTTGGCCTGTAAAATATAATACACACGCGAAAAAGGGCAAATTGAGTCATTTTTTCACACTTTTAGTGTTGTAAAATTGGACAAATTTACTATTATCAAATTGAATCGGAAGAACACAATCACTTATATAATTATATAATTGATAATTTTAAATGTTATAAAAGGTTAGATTTATTCATCCTTAGAAGTATTTTAAAAAGACAATGCACCAGGATATGGATATAATAATTATAACCTCTTCACCATGCACGTTCTCATTTTGTTACTGCTGATTAGAGTGATGTCCCTTTGGTGAATATAAAAGTTAAACCTGCTCGGCTTGAGAAATACGGCTTGAAAAATATAGTGATCTATCGATGATAATATTTACAATCGATTGTCGCCAATCTGGGCCTTTAAACGACGATTTTTCGATAGTCAGCGACTATCATAACAACACTACACACTTTTTAAAACAATGTTTTGAAATGTATGAGTGGGTCTTCACTCCACTTTTTTTTTCAAGTTTATCCTCAAAGTTTGCATACAAAATGAAATATACTATTTTGATTTCCAAAATTATGGAGTAAAAACCCAATAAACCTTTTAAAAAATTATAATTTTATGATATAACTTTTGTATCTTTTCGAGAAAAACTTGAAGTCCACTGAGTCAATGGTCATATCACAAACATGATTTAAATGCCAATCCTCATCAGGACTTGTGTAGCATAGTGGTTAGCTTGCTAGTCTCAGTAGAGAATGCTACTCAGGATTTTTATTGCTAGGGTTCAATCTAATGGATACATGTACCACATTTTCATATCTGTGATAGTCAGTTGGTGAAAAAACTGCAACAAAAATTGCGTACAGATCTCGAGACACGTGGATATATAGGAAGTTGACATCGAATTTGCATAAAAATGAATCTCACTACCAGTGTATAATATGCCTCGACAAAGAGTGTTAAAAAATTTCAAACTTCTTGCTACCATAGTAGTTGCTGAAAAAAAAAAAACATAAAAATTTACACGCACAGATAAACAGGAAGTTGATGTGAGATTTCCTAAAAAAATAATGCCACCATTATCCCTCAATATGTAATGCCTATAGAAAGATAGACAGACATGCTAATTCCAATTTACTCCCCAAATTTGATTGAGAATGGGTTAAAATAATTGTATGTTGTTATTGAATATTCCTCACAGTTGACTTGTAGGTAATACTTATCATTGCTGACTTGTGGGGAATATTTCTCACTGTTAACTTGTAATACTTTTCATTGCTGACTTGTGGGGAATATTTCTCACTGCTGACTTGTGGGGAATATTTCTCACTGTTAACTTGTAATACTTTTCATTGCTGACTTGTGGGGAATATTTATCACTGCTGACTTGTGGGGAATATTTATCACTGTTAACTTGTAATACTTTTCATTGGTGACTTGTGGGTAATATTTATCACTGCTGACTTGTGGGGAATATTTCTCACGTAGGTTATATTTATCATTGCTGACTTGTGGGGAATATTTCTCACAGTTAACAATTTTAGGTAATATTTATCACTGCTGACTTGTGGGGAATATTTCTCACTGTTCACTTGTGAGGAATACACATGTATTGACCATTGCTTTACCCTTAAAACTTTGTTTCCATATAAATGTTGCCTTTGAACCCAACCAATAAATGTACACTTCAGTGTATATTGCTGACTTGTGGGAAACATTTATCACTTATTGGGAAATGCATTATTTTATTATACATGAACATTACAGATAAAAATTATTTTTCAACAAATAAAATAATTAACTATCAAATCTTAAAAAAAATCAATCATCAGTATTAATAATTGTATTGAAACTACATGTATTACTACTCTAATGTTTACAAGTCTTTTAAATCAAAGCACATTAATTTTAAAAACATTTGTTTTCCTTCACTAGATTTAAAACAAATTGCAAATTTTAATTTTCTCAGGTAAAAAAAAAATGTTTTCAATTCAAAAATAATAAGTATGTTGAAAAGGATAAAAAGTCATAAAATCAGGAGACAGTATATATAAGTACTATAATTTAATCATTGATGGATTTAATCGGCCAATGACTAATTATTATTAACCAAATTTTGATTATGTTTTGTAAAATTTTCTGATTATTGTTACACAGTTAGCATGGTTAGCACACATGTATATTTTCTGACAACTTCTCAGCATGTTCATGAGGCTTTTAACCTACTTTGAAATCATGAACAAGGACCAAATTTTTTTTTTTATTTTAGATATACCGGTTTATATACTTCTATGTACATGTATTAGGCTTCATAACATACATGATATCAGCATGCTTTTTTTTTTTATTATTTCTGTTTTTAGAGCAACGGAAGTACTGTAAACCAACTTTTATTTGAGTGCAAGAAATATTTGCCAGTTTCACATGTTTCATGACCTACATTTACTAGTGAATAGTAAATTATTAATTGCCCTGAACTATTAATTTTGCTATATATTTGTAGAGAATGTTTCCTTTCATTAGTCACGGAAATTAATCAACACAGATTAGATATGCAAATAAAAGATGACACAAATAGGGTACATGTGTACTACCTGGTAGTTGGTTTACAGTACTGCTCACATATAGAGTTCAAAATGAGATTTTACAGCTATCTTGACTTACCAATACTAAATCCTTCTGTTTCCATACACAAATCCAGACAAAATGCTTTCAGTTATAATACTCTAGTTCTTTACATCCTTCATGTCCATGCAAGCGTGTCTGTTGACTTTGACTCCAAGTCTCAGTCTCTAACATTTTCAAGAATAAAGTTGTATAATTTGCTCTTGTGGTGAAAACCCGAAAACCTGCAATGATAATTTTGCTTTCAGTTCAAAGATTTCATTGTATATTTTTTTTAAAGTGTTCATATCTTTACCTATAATTACAAGACAGGTATATCTCCACATCACTCAATAGTAATTTTTGACCCCATGCGGCATGCCAAAATTAAGACTTAATGTATGCCCTTTCCTGAACCATATTGTTAACAGTGGGTAGGTAGGTATGAAAAATATTTTACTTTTTTCCTTCTTGTGACATGGCCCAGAGAGCTTTCCCTTTTAAATCAACCGTACAATAACTGCGAAACAGAACACTTTCTCGTGGATGTTTGATGAGCAGAAACTGTTTTATATGCAAAAAATCAACGATACAGTACATCTTATTTTTAGGAATGACAGAAAACTGAATCAATACCTTAAATGATAGTCATTGAAATTGCATGATAGTGCTGTTAGTATTTATTTAAATTTAATTAAAATGAGAATAGAAATTTACAGCGTAAAGTTACCAGAGGCAGATTAAAAATTTTTAGAAAGGAGGAGTGGGTGCAGAAATCAAATGGTTTTCTTAAAAAAAAAATAAAAGACCAAAATCAGGAAGCATTATCAGACCCAAAACTTTGAGCGCGATCGTTATATGTAAATAAATTTAAAAAGGTATAAATTCAGTTAAGCAAATATAAATATTTATGAATAATAGATATTGAATCTTAAAATCTCAACATTACCTTTCAATTTTATAACCAATTTTAAATTTTTAATATGCTCGCTATCATAAAAGCTGATCTAATTGTTATTACTATGTTTCTCCATTTCCTCCAATTCGCATTATTTTGTATACCACGCCCAATCATAATTCAATAGTAATTGAGGTTTTGAAAAGGATTTTTAGTTATTTTTTACATATGATTTTGTTTCTTATTTATTCCATCAGCATCTAAACCCCAAGGCCAAGGTTTGAATTGTAACAAATTTTAAAAATAAAAGGTGATCTTTAATTAACAATAAGTATTTAATTAAAATGAATTTATTAGACATTTTAATTGGGCCTAAATAAATAAGTAGTGTGTTTTCAGCATGTTTAGTTCCCCGCCTAACTCTAAGAAGTATAGGAGCCGACCCTCAATATTTTTTCTGCTAATATTTTTCCATGAGTAAACTACTGTATGTATACTTTAAAATGCAGGCTTCATATTTTAGCGGCTTTGGTGCAGACAACAATGCACTAATTCATGAATACTGCTAAGAAATCATTTACATATTGATATATACAATACACCGCACATACATGTGTAGCGCTAATTTATGATTATGCCAACCCAGTGATTATGCTAAATTTTGAAAGCACCAAATTATATACACATATTACAGTATTCGGAATTCCAGTTTACAATTAGAAATGAAATCCCAATCTTGATCACTTCCATGTTTGAGAAATGCATATCTTACACATATTAATCAGAAATATTTTGACAGTGAAATCCTGGGGGAAAGTGGCAGCGTGCCTGCCAATAAAATGTTAAAATAAAATAAAAATGTTTTTCCTACCTACCTACCCTATCTTTTCTAAGGTTAAAATAGGAAACACTATCTATTTATCTTGGCCTTAGCAAAATAAAAAAAAATACTTATGATACGTCGATAATGATGGTCTAAAATCATGAAAATATTTTCAGTAGGGCAATCAGGATGAATGTAGAACAGGGTGCAGGTGAAAGATAATGAAGGCAAATGGACACTATGCAAACCAACGCATGCGAAGAAATATATACAAGTAGGAAGAATGACTTGATAAAAAAACGATAACTAAATCAAGCTTTTTTTTGGAAGAATTAAACATGTTAAATAATCTAACCAAGCTAAGAAATTTTAGCTACGTAAATCTATAAATGTACTGATTTCAATGGACCTTTTGAAAAGGTGGAGTTCTCTGTGATACATTTCTGACACTGAGTCAGTGTGTGACTGACATCGTTTATAAATACACGTACAGTTTAAGTCAGATTAACTTTTACAATTAATTCGCCCACACAGGCCTCACTAAACAGCTAAAGACCAGACAGTCGCACCGTCTAGCATAATTTGTATGAGCATGAGGAGGATAGTCGCGTTTCACAAAAAATGGGGACAAGCCTTAAACGCTTACCATATCCCGGGGGTGCTGAATTCATATAAATCCGTAGTTTGTTCTTACAGGATAGCCATTAGGCCTATAAACATGATACAATTAAAAAAAAAAATAACCGAGGTCTAGGTCGGGTCAAACTTTCCCAAAGTTTTACGTGCATTCATTATTAAATGTTACTTTACGAACGTCTGTAAGAAATAACTGCATGCATGATTTACGTAGTTAAATTAAGTTTTCAGCCTATAATATCTTTAAAATATGATAAAAAATCTACTTACCACATATTCTCGGAGCAGCCATTGCCCGCAATAAATTGGTATCATATGGGGACCAGTTTAAATTCCGCTGCGTTCCGAATGAACATTTCCCAGCATCCTCAAACATTCGTTTTACGGTGCAGTGAGAAAATTACTGCGAGTCAATTTTACGGACTTATGGGGATTTTTTCAAAAATGACCACAAATCGAATAAATATTATCAGTAGAACACGTAGAATTCAAAAAAACCCCATGTCCATATTTGTGGGGAACGAGAGAGTTCCCCACAATTCTGAACTTTCCCCATAAGAAAGGTCCTTTGTCAGGTGTGAGTTCCCCACAAGTCGGTGAGCGCGAGTGCTCTATCTCTCTCTGTCTCTCTCTCTCTTTCTCCTTAATTTACCACTAAATATAAGCAGAAAATTCAAAGTCTGATATAAATTAATCATGTATGATGAGGTATTTTTGGAGTGATAAATTTTAATTAAGGATGACGTTTTCTCAGGTTTCTGAAAACAGTAAAGGAAATTTTTAAAAAAAGATAATATGTGAAACAAAAAAAATTTTAAATGAAGAAAATAAATTAGTTTAAACCCAATATCAATTTCAAAATTAAATATTTAATTATTCGAACAAAAATAAACAGATCAAAAATTAATGTATGGTAATGAAGAGGAAATTCGGACTATATTTTATGCTTTTCAATTACAAAAAGTGTAAAGGTTATATGCATTTTTAAACATCATTTTGCAAATATTACACGAAATTCGGACTATAATAATGATTACGTTTAAGGCTCAAACTCTTATCGCTTCTTTATATGAAACAACGTTATTCTATTGCTATAATATTCATTATTTAAACAATTTTGTTGCTTTTTAAAATTTTTGTGAGTAAATGAAAAATGGTTTTCGTGTAAGAATTGAGGTATTTTCCGCGAAATACATGTACATGTACTAAGGGGGCACTAGCAAGAAACGTAGGTCATTGAGCCTAGTTATTTGAAATTGAAATTTAACACAAAATTCATATGTTTACAATGTGGAATAGGTTGTTTCTCGTTTTTATCAGAGGTATATTTAGTCCTCTGAGTAATGGTATACCTTTAAACGCGTTCTTTTGCAAACACAGGGTATTGTCTGAAGACAATAAAAGATGGATTTCTGGACCAGATCAGCTGTAAAAACTTCACAGAAGGATGTCCAACCGAACCTTACAGAAGTACAGAGCTGTATAAATGTAAGAAATTGCTCAATCACTAAACACAAATTAAAAAAATCAATTTCATTTGTTAATCTTACTATACTGTAAAACTATTTTTTATTGAAGAGTGGGAATTTTGAAATTAGGAAGATAGGAAATGTTGGCAATCTACTTCCACTGTTTGTGAAGTGTTAATCGAGAAATTTTTGGTTTCGGACACTCTTTACTATTAGCACCTATGCAATGGACAGTAAAATACATGTACGTGTTTTTTTTTTCAATATAACAATGACAATCACTTTCCAAAAAGCAAATTTATTTAAAGAAATTCGGGGATTGGATCACTTTTGTACCCAATTCTGAACATTAATAAGTGCATCTTAATCATATGGTCTTTAATTTCCGAACGTAAATTAAGTTTACATAAACAGCCTTATCGATGTAAACCAGAAAAATTGTTCTATGAAGCCAATTATTTTTTTTTCATTTTAACATCAGTGTACTAGTATTTAACAAGATTGCTCAACAGACATTTTGAATTTGACAAATGGAAACTTGGGAGGACTTCGACAAATTTCTTGAAGTTCCACTTTATAGTAACTTGATTGAATTTCTTCTGCATAGATCCAGCTTGCAGTCGTCTTAACACAGAGTTCCGATGTTTTGCTGCTGATTCTTTGTGTGTTTCGTAAGTTTTTTTTAACAAAAAAGGATAAGGTAGGGTAAGGGTCGAACGGAACCCCTTATTGATGTTAAAATCAGAACACTGGATAAAGTGCGATAGTTTGAAGTTTAGAACTTAAAATGATGATTGGTATGAAATCAGCATAAGTAGGATATTTTCTCGAATTCTAATTGAGTTTCGTCATATTTCTCTTTGAAAAACATAGAACACAAGCGTGCCTATCTGTGATTTACATTGATACACATTAACTGTATATGTCACTAGTGTATAAAATTTTGTAGATCGGCAAGCTTGTGCTTTATATTTTTCAAAACAAAATGTGCTGTAAAGTCGATAAAAATATGCATAAAATGAGAAAATTCAAAAATTGGCCTATTTTATGACATCTTTATAACTTCTGTGTACATGTATTACAAATATTAGAACTTATACTCATTTTTGTGGTATGGATAAAAACAAGTTTTTATTTATAAACTGTTACATCATTCTAATAAAAAACAACATCAGGGGTCAAAAGGGGACTTAATGTACCTTGTCATTTCTTATCGTTAACTTCAGTTTACTACTAGTGAATCAGATTATTTACTTTAATAGTAAATACGTATAAGTCCATTTTACTATGAATTTCAGATAGATATATTGATTTGTTAATCTTTTTTCTGGTATTAAATAAGGATTTCCTTGAATATATTCAGTACAAAATCACATTGTTGACTTAACTTTTTGTAAATTACATACATTCCAGATGTGCACAGTATTTCTATTTCAATTTTCATGGTAAATAAAAGTAACAAAGTATTCATTATAGTTTACTTTAGAAACTTTGGTTCACTATTGTACATTTTTGTTAGAGTGGCTTCATTTTCTGCAAATACAGTGTGGTTGATGTGATTGTGTGATCAGTGGCGTGGCATCATTTTTGAAACCCAGAGAAAAAAAATTTCTTACCTGAAAAAGTTGACAAGCCAAAAAAAAAAAGGGGGGGGGGGAGGTTGCCAAAGTCGAAAATCCTTTTTCGTTGTAGGGGGGGGGGGGGGTATAGGTAGACTTCTTCTCAGTGTCTACTTCTTTCACTACCAATTCTAATATTACATTTTCATAACATCACTAATAGTGGGGGGGGGGGCAACCAGGCTTTCAATTTACATTTCTTATTGTATAAGTAAGGTTGGGAAAAAACGTGGGGGGCCAGCCCCCCCCCCCCCCCCCCAGGTTGCTACGCCCCTGGTGATAAAAGTAAAATAAAATAAATCCTTTTTAAAATAAGAGATCATAAATCAGGGTGACTAGGAAGTGCTCAGCCTAATTAAATACCTACCTTAAAAGAAAAGATAAAGGATTTCAGTGTTCATGTGATCTAGGCAGTCATGTGACTAGCATTTTAGTGTTCTATTATAGATGCATAATTTTCGTTCGACTCTTATATTTCTTAAAATGCAACTAATTTTTTTTATAACAAATAAACGTAAGAAATTGCCAAATCTCGGAAATAGTTTGGGCTGACAAGTATATATCCATTTCCAGCATGAGTATGATGAATATCATAAGTGGGTCTTCTCTCTTTCTAGCGTCGTTTGTTCAATGTGAATAAAGTATGGATGCCTCCCTTTTTACAATGCCAGTCTAAACTTAACATTATTTTAGAAATTCAATAATAATATCATTTTTATGATATTCAACTATCTTTCATACAGTAAGTTTGCGTTCTTTCATATCAAATTGATTTACAAAATTGTTTTAAAAAGGACCAATCTCTTCTTCAGCTTGCCTTCACTGGACAACGGGACAAAATCATTTTTAAAAATATCCCTTCCTTCAATAAGCAATTTATCCATTTAATTAATAAATTGATGATTTAAAAACTTTTTAAGATACATGTTAATCCTTACATTTGTTGCTCAAGAGCGATTGATTCAACCATTTTTTGTCACAAGTTATCTACTTATTGACTTTCAATTCTGATCATTTTGATCTGAAATTTAGTTTTGTGAATATGGAAAGAGTTTGCGAACGTCCTAATCACTCTTCTTAATAATACATGTCACCACCCGATCTCTCAAACATATATATTGAGTTAAATTACTTTTTTCTATATAAAACTGAAATCTAATTTGAAAACGTTTGTCGTGAAAATGAAAAGAATTCAATGTTTATCATATGATCCCTAAAATTTTTCAGCAAGAAAATTTCAAATTTTTCAGAACATTTATCAACCTGTAATGTATCAAAAACTAATATTTTTTTCAAACCATTATTTGGATTGGTAAGGCATTGAGCTGTTTAATTCAGAATTATTCACTTCATTAGTGTGAGAGACTATATACAGTGTAAATGCATATTACTGTAGACGTTTGAATGGGTATTATCGTCCTTGATACATGTATCCTCTACAAAAGCATAAAATAGACATATTTTTAAAACTAGTTTACTTATTTAATTTTTAGCTCTTTTTTTCAATTAACCGACGCCAAAACAGCTATAATAGTATGAAAATTGAAATCTCTGGTGCCGACCTTAATTTTGATCACTGTTTACAGGTATTCTAATGCCTCTAGGACTGCTATAGATGATGGATCCGTTGACATAAGAGAAATCCTCGGTGTCGTCATACCTCTCCTGGTACTGGTGGGGATTCTGATAGCAGCCTTTCTATTTTGGAGACGTCGGCAAAAACTAAAACTAAAAACTACACTAAAGCGTCGCAAAAAGATTTTAGGTAAATCTGTATTCGAAATATACTAACCAATGCACATATGAAAAGTTGAATTATTATATTGCACAATGAAAAATGCAAAAATTAACCATCGTCCTTTTTTAATTGAGATTCATTCATAAGATGTGCTTTCTATCATAACGAAATATGCAGTAGTTTTGTAAATTATCGGGAAAACAAATTGTTTGCAAATAAATTGGACAATTCCTCCCTTTTTAACAACTCGTTTCATAGGTCTCAGAGTACATATACCCTGGTTAACTGACAAGATTTAAAAATTAAAATTACACTGCGCCAACAATTGTCTTATAATGTATTATCAGTTTCTTTAGCGTGTAAAGAATAAACATCAAGGATGATTTAATTAAACCAATACAATATTCATGCACTAAACCAATGGGAGAAAGGGTACCTAACTTTAATAGGGAAAATGACAGTCGTTAAGACATTAGTTTTACCTTTATTAAATCGCATTTTAATGTCAATATTAAATCCCATTGAATCATACTGCAAATAATTAGAAAAAAAATTCCTCTTTGGAATACTTCAATTCATAGGGTTAAAACATAGTTATTGTTAAAAATTATGAAGACTGAGGATTGAAAATATAAAACCTTGTCTGTTATATCTTCTATGAAATTATTTTGGATAAAACAGCTTGTTTTTACAAATTGGGGTATGGAACATATCATCCAAAATTTTAACTTAGACAAATTTAAAAACTGTGGAATTGATTACGTCACAACTTTTCTGAAAACGTTGAAAAATAAATTTTGGATAGACGTGTTCAAATCCTGGATAACAGTACAAATTTATGAGATAGCGTCTGAGATTGCAAACTCACATTTGTTTTATAACCCAATGCTTCGTATTAGGGGGGGGAGGCTTTTTTTTTTTTTTTTTTTTTTTTTTTTTTTTTATAATAAACACATGTTTGACAGCAACATTAGACGAGTGAATGATATCATTAATGAAGATGATTCTTTTTCAAGTTTTGAATATTTTCGTAATACTTATCCCATGATTAAGATTGTTTTTAAAAGAAATATAGCATTATAATTCATGCTATTTTAAAAGTCTTGGATAAAAACTTCTGGCCTTGACATAACTATCAATTAAAAAGCTAGATACCCCATTAGGTATGAGAGATATTTACAAGGTGATGATTTGTCACAGATCCAAATGATTTTATGATATTCGATCACAACTCTTCTGTGTCAACAGGTAAAGCAAAGTGGAGTTAGATTTCAAAGGTCGACACTCAATCGCAACTTCTCGGGCCTTTTCGACCAGCGGAAAAACGACCTCGAATGAAAATGGTAGCCGCCATGACAACCCTCCTTTTTCACGCTCTTGGAAATAAATGCATGGAGACCTTTTATCTGTGGTATATGTAGTTTAACTTTATTCAATGTAATGATATTGACTGAAATATATTATAGAAGGAACTTCTAACTCCCCCTATCTTACATTTGACTAAACAGGAAATGTATAAATTTTTAACATCCGGCCATGTTAATACATTCGAGGTTGTTTTTCCGACCTCTGACGGAAAGACCCGAGATGATGCGATTGGGTCGACACTAAAGGATGGAAAAAAGAATCAACTAAAATACACTTCAGAGTAACAAAAGACTGTAAATTCGTATTCTTTCAGTATAGAATTATAAACAGAATTTTAGTATTATTTTTTTTAAAAATTAACAAAAATGACTCTCAGTACTGCAATTTTTGTCACTCGGAAGAAGAACCAATAGAACACCCTTGATGGAAATGTCAATGTACACAAATATTTCTAGAAAAATTTGTACTTTTTCTTGAAAATTAGACAGGTCTAGTCATCATTATTAAATGTGTACGAAGAGATCTTTTATTTTAGGTTACATTGAGAATTATATACTGATACTCAAAATACTATTATACTTTGGACTTAAAATGCATTTTTAGCTCACCTGAGCCGAAGGCTCAAGTGAGCTTTTCTGATCACATTTTGTCCGGTGTCCGTCTGTCTGTCTGTCCGTCTGTTTGTCTGTAAACTTTTCACATTTTCGACTTCTTCTCAAGAACCCCTGGGCCAATTTCAACCAAACTTAGCACAAAGCATTCTTGGGTATAGGGGATTCAAGTTTGTTCAACTGAAGGGCCACGCTCTCAATCAAGGGGAGATAATAGGGAATTAATGGAAATTCGATGGTATGATTTAAAAATCTTCTTCTCAAAAACCACTGTGCCAGGAAAGATGAAACTTATGGGGAAACATCCTCAGGTAGTGTAGCTTCAAGTTTTTTTTCAAATCTTGACCCCCAGGGGTAGGGATAGGCCACAATGGCCGACCAAAGTTTTACATAGAAAAAATTAGAAAAATTCTTTTAAAATTTTCTTCTCACGAATAGCCTAGCCATAATTTATCATATTTATATGGAAGCATCCTCAGGTACTGTAGCTTCAAGTTTGTTCAAATCATGACCCCCGGGGGTAGGGCAGGGCCACAATGGCCAACCAAAGTTTTACATAGAAATTTATAGGAAAATTCTTTAAAAATCCTCTTCTCAAGAATAGCCTAGTCATAATTGATCATATTTATATGGAAGCATCCTCAGGTAGTGTAGATTCAAGTTTGTTCAATCATGACCCCCGGGGGTAGGGCTGGGACACAATAGCCGACCAAAGTGTTACATAAAATATATAGAAAAATTCTTTAAAAATCTTCTTCTCATGAACAGCCGAGCCATAATTGATCATATTTATATGGAAGCATCCTCAGGTAGTGTAGATTTAAGTTTATTCAAATCATGACCCCCGGGGGTAGGGCTGGGCCACAATGGCTGACCAAAATGTTACATAGAAATATATAGAAAAATTCTTTAAAAATCTTCTTCTCATGAACAGCCAAGCCATAATTGATCATATTTATATGGAAGCATCCTCAGGAAGTGTAGCTTCAAATTTGTTCAAATCATGACCCCCGGGGTAGGGCTGGGACACAATGGCCGACCAAAGTTTTACATAGAAATATATAGGAAAATTCTTTCAAAATCCTCTTCTCAAGAATAGCCTAGCCATAATTTATCATATTTATATGGAAGCATCCTCAGGTAGTGTAGATTTAAGTTTGTTCAAATCATGACCCCCGGGGGTAGGGCTGGGCCACAATGGTCGACCAAAGTGTTACATAAAAATATATAGAAAAATTCTTTAAAAATCTTCTTCTCATGAACAGCCATAATTGATCATATTTATATGGAAGCATCCTCAGGTTCTGTAGATTCAAGTTTGTTCAAATCATGACTCCCTGCGGTAGGGCGGGGCCTCAATGGCCAACCAAAGTTTTACATAGAAATATATAGGAAAATTCTTTCAAAATCCTCTTCTCAAGAATAGCCAAGCCATAATTGATCATATTTATATGGAAACATCCTCAGGTAGTGTAGATTCAAGTTTGTTCAAATCATGACCCCCGGGGATAGGGCGGGGCCACAATGGCCGACCAAAGGTGCACAGGTGAGCGATGTGGCCCATGGGCCTCTTGTTCAAAAATAGGACAAGAGGAGCCCAAAACAGTTTTATGTTGTCATGGGTAAACACTTGCTTTAATAAGTCTACATGCGAAAAATAATTAAAATCCATTACAGGCATCGTGCCACCCATTGCCTAGTTTTTTTTTTTTTTCGGTGGACTGCGTCTTATATAGAACATATTTTTACAAACGATCCGCTGTTAACTCACCAGAAAGGGAGATATTGACGAATCCACCAAAATTTAGATTTTTTTGGGGCCTTACTAACCATACAGTATTTTCCCTCGAAAGGTTTGTACTTTGTAAGGTCAGGTTTCCATGGGAATATGGATTTAAGGAAAAGCTACTATACAACACCGGTGTGGTGGTCTGTTAAGTAAGCATCTTATTTAAGGTTGAACATATATTAAAAGGAAGATGGCT